TATTCCACCCAACAACCACAGAATATACATTCTACTCATCACCACATGGAATGTACTCCAAGATCAATCACATCCTTGGCCATAATCAGCCACAAATTCCATAAGGTCAAAATATTGCCATGTACCTTTTCATGCCACAGTGGAATAAAAATAAAGATCAACACCATCAAAATTTCCCCAAAGACCACAAAAACATGGACACTAAACAGCACGATGCTGAACAACCACTGGGTCAATACTGAAGTCAAAGCAGAAATTAAAAGATTCCTGGAGACAAATCAAAATAAAGAAACATCTTACCCAAATCTCTGGGATGCCATGAAATCAGTTCTAAGTGGTGAATTTATATCTCTATGAGCACACATCAAAAAACTGAAAGATCACAAGTCAAAAGCCAAACAAATCACCTAAGGGAGCTGGAAAGAGAAGACTACCAAATCACCAAAATAAGAGTCTGAATACAGGACATAGAAGACAGAAATAGCATAGAGAACATCAACAAAACAAAAAGCTGGTTCTTTGAAAGAATTAACAAGATCGCTGGATCCCTAGTGAGAATGGCCAAGAAAAAGAGAGAAAAAGCCCAAATAAACACAATCAGAAATACAAAAGATCAAATCACAACTGACCACAAAGAAATACAAAAGATTATCGGAGATTACTATGTACACCTATATGAAGCAAACTTGATAACCTAAATGAAATGGAGAACTTTCTGACATCACACAACCTCCCCAGGTTGAAACAAGAAGACATTGAGACACTAAATAGACCAATAACAACCCAGGAAATTGACTCTGTCATACAAAAACTACCAAAAAAAAAAAAAAAGCCCTGGACCAGATAGCTTTCCAGTAGAATTCTGCAAAATGTTCAAGAAGGAGCTGATACCAATCCTATTGAAAGTATTCCAGGCAATTGAGAAAGATGGAATTCTCCTCAAATCACTTTACAAAGCTAATATCACACTGAAACCCAAACTGGGTTAAGATTCAACAAAAAAAGAGAGCTGCAGTCCAATATCGCTTATGAACATAGATGCAAAAATCCAAAAGGAAAAAGTAAAAACAAACAGCCCCATTAAAAAGTGGGCAATATACATGAATAGACACTTCTCAAAAAAAGATGTATAGGCAGCAAACAGACACATGAAAAAGTGCTCAGCTTCACTAATCATCAGAGAAACGCAAGTCAAAACCACACTGAGATTCCACCTAACCCCTGTATGAATGGCCATCAGTAATAAAACAAACAACACCAGATGCCGGTGTGGATGCAGAGAAAAAGGAATGCTTCTACACTTCTGGTGGGAATGCAAAGTAGTGCAACCTCTTTGGAAGACAGTGTGGCGATTTCTGAAAGAACTAGCAGTTGACCTTCCATATGATCCAGCAATTTCCCAATTGGAAATATAGCTGGAGGAACGCAAATCATTCTACAAAAAAAGATAACCTGCACATGAATATTTGTTGCAGCTCTATTCCCAATAGCAGAAATATGGGACCAACCAAGCTGCCCATTGGAGATGGACTGGATTAAGAAAATGTGACACATATACACAATGGAATATTATGCAGTCATAAAAAAAGACAAACAAATGGACTTTGCAGCAACTTGGATGGATTTCAAATCAATCATACTCAGTGATCTATCACAGAAACAAAAAAGTCAGAGTACCATATGTTTTCACTCATGAGCGAACCTTGAACAATTATAATGCTACAAAAGGGATTGGCAGTAGTGGGAAGCTGGCAGGGAATGGGGGTGGGATTGGCAGTTGAGGGAAACTGCTAGGGGAGAGAGGGGCACACCTCATCAACAAGGGTACCTACATAACCAACGTTTGCATGACTAACCCTGAATTGTACCCCATATCTTTATTTAAAAAAAGAAGAATCCACTTTCTCCTCAATAAACAGGGTGATCTGTCTCGAGTACAAACATCCCTACTTAAAACGCTCAGCTGCTCTCTGAGGTTCCTTATACAAAACTCCAAACGTATTAGAACAGTGTGATGTCAGTCTTGTTTCCAGACCCTCACCTTTAACTAGCCTTCCTCTTCTTTCTAGCGAGGACTGTGATCTCCTTCATCTCCTGGACATCAGCTGTACTGTACCCTCAGCCTAGACTTGCAGCTGTCCAACTTGGTTGAGCTAGTTTATCTTCATTCCTCAGTTCTCGCTTGGACTGGGCTCCCCCAGGTTTGGATCTGTTGGTCCTCACACATGCCAACTGTTCCTGTTCCCCCCACTACACTCCGTGGTGATTGCCTCCCTCTTATTTGCCTGTCTCCCCAGATGGCAAGCTCTCGGGGGCCAAGTAAAGTGTCTGGGTACTCATTCTCACATCCTTAGCTCCAAGCTTGACACACACTAGATGTTCAATACATATCTGTGTGGGAATGAATAAGTGCAAAATTGAATGACTCAACGAGGAAGACCGAAATGGTGACAGAACCTGATGGAAATAGCAATGACAGATATTGCAAGGTGTACCTTGAGTGAGAGAAAAACAGATCATGCCACTGAGAGTGCAAGGAGCTGAGTAAAATAGCAATTACACATCACTTGGAAGGGAAAAGTGGTATCAGTGGTGTATTCCCATTCTAATGTCTCTTTCAAGGAGAAATCTAATATAAAATAAAATTGAATACATATGAAATATAGTCTAAGATAAAAATAAAATGAATTTAAAGGAGTAGAGGATGCCAGGGCCAAAAAATAGGCAGGAGTGTTGAACTTGGCTTTAGTGTGCCTCACACAGTTTGACAGGCTCTGTTGTGTTTTGACTCCATAGATCACATTTAAATTACTTGCAAGATCTAGCAAGAATGACCCAAGGGAAAGGTTAGGGCAAAAATAGACAAAACACAAAAGAAGAAATCTAATGGGCCTACAAAAAGGACAAGACATTCAACCTCATTAGGGATCAGGGAAGTCTAAAATAGGAGAACAACAACAAAAAAAGAAACCATATTTGCCACCAATCAAAAGTCTGATGCCACCAAATATCACTTGGGGCTCATGGAAATCTATTCATTGCTGATGGGTGGGTAAGTTGGCAAAAACGATACCTTAGTACAATACCTCTGTGTTTATGACAAAAACACATGTCATAACACAAAGCAATATTCTACTTTCATCATGGATAATTTCATATGTAGAAAAAGTGCATAAATGAACGAATATAAACCAGAAGATATGATTACACTGGGACAGAAAGGGCATGGGAGGAGATGGAGGGATGGATCTCAAGCTGTATTTGCAATGCTTTGTTTCTTTAAAGAAAAGAAAACAAGATTGTAAGCAAGCAAGTGGAAAAATGTTAACATGGTTAATGATGGTGACACATGGATGTCACTTAATATTTTTATGAATGAAATGTCTAATACATTTTTAAGTTTATTCAGAAGCAAACCAGAGATCAACACATAGATGAGCCAAATTGTAGTAACCCGAACATGGTTCAAAACGAAAACCTTCCTTGGGGGACGGGAACTGGGTTCATGGGGAAATTGAAGCTTGCCCACATCCATGACTATCTTTGTTTTGTTCCCTAAAGAAAAAATAGCTAAGTCACAGGAAGACAATTTTAATCAGCCAAGTGGGGTTTAGATCTCAAATCTTGAGACAAAATTCTTACTTACCAGTGGTTATCACTTGAACAACAGATCTGACTGTCCATGAACTCGCATTATCCGACTGAGTGTAATCACATACATAAGTGCCCTGGTGCCAGATAAAAATGTCATCCACTAGAATTGACTGGCTTTTGTCAGGGAGAAGTTTTCCATCCTAACCCAAAAGATTAAAAATAAATAAATAAATAACTTTATTTAACCAGAGAATTTACATCATAAGAAAACTTTATAAATTATAACTACGGACAAACTTTACAAATTTGAACCAGGGAGGAGGAGAGAGTCAGGTTCAGATAAAGGCATCCAACCAGCTATGAAGTAATTGTGCTCAAAAATTATATTTGTAAGATTCATATGTGAAACAAGAGGTATTTTCTATTATTATTATATTATGTGTAGAGATGAAAAAGCCAAGCCTGATCAGCCCTCCAAAAGCTACTTAACATAGTGTTACCCATAGTGTTCCCAGAGTGTTCCCAGAGTGTGACTCAGGATCCTGAGAGTATTCTAGAAAATCTGGCACCTAAATAAATTTTTCAAAAGTGTGTGCATGTGCACACGTGTGCGTGCACGCGCGTGCGCACACACACACACACACACACACATACTATATATGTATTTTATTTTTGGAAATTGACATCGATTTTCCATGTATGAGGGTAATATATAAAGTGTCCTTTTTAAATTTTACTCTAATACAGGATAAATTTTTAGATTAAAGATATTAGTTAACTAAACAGGTGCACATAAATATTGCAAAGAATGACTGAAGACTGATCAATAATCATTTAACTCCCACTGGACCCAAAGTCAAATAAGAACTGAAATACAATTATCAACCTATCTCTTGTTGAGTTAGAATCTATCTGTGACTCTCTTTTGTCTTTAGAATAAACTATAAAATCCTTCATGGTTTGATCTTGCCAGTACTTCTTGGTCTCATTTCCTGCCACTGCCCCCTCTACCCACTTGCCGTTCCCTAAATAACCATGTTTTTCCTGATCCACACATTTGCACACTTCTTTTTCCACTTTTTCCCACTGGGTAGGCTATCACTCAATCTCTTGCTCCTACTCAAGAGGCAGCTCTTATGGTGCTAAATCTTTATGCATTTTCCCAGCAGAATTGGTCACTTCATGCTCCCAGAGCAATGAGCACAGATGATTATTACACGTGGTCATTTTGCAGTAATTATGTGTTCATGTATCTTTCTCTGTGGTTGTTGAGAGCAGTCTTTGTATATGCAGACATATAACTGGTCCTGGACACAGAAATACAAACAAACATGGGTTCCTCCTCTCAGCAAACTCTCAGTCTAATAATGTAGGCCTAGACTAGTAAGCCATTCCATAACACCACGCACAGAATGCACAGGGAACACTGGGACAGTCCTACCTCAGCTCACACAATGCAGGGATGCTCCCTGCAGTTTAACAGAATCCTTGAAGACTGTGTAGAACTCTGTCAATTGAAGGTAAGTGCCATTTTAGGAATGTCTGAAGCAAAGCACATACACGGGAAACACGGTCAAGGTGAATGCAAATGTGTTTGCTCTTTGTGTCTCCCATATACAGCAAGGGGGACAGTAGTAGAGCTCTTTGTGAAAGTTGGATGAATAAATGAATGCACGATTGAAAGAAAGATTTTCAAGCAGGAGAGTCACATGATCAGACATTTTAAGAAAAAGCGGCAGGTATGGAAGCGCTTGTAAGTTTAAGCAAAGACTATTATAATCAATCACATGTGTATCAATACCAATCACATAGGGGCTAGGATATAATAGGGACCCAGTAAAGATTTGTTGAATTGTTGTCACCGTATCCATAATCCGTAGCCTCCATGTATAATAATGTTTCTATGGCACATGTCCTTCCAACTTCCAACCGCGAGTGCCAGCATCATGTCTTTTACCAATGTAACGGAAAGGAAAGATACAAACAACAAAAATAATAACATTATAAGATTGTATTACCTATACAGATTACAAAAGTCTTTCTCCTGCATCATTGGATGTGATTGTCCAAAGGATTCACTGACTTGGCTTTTCTGAATTCCATTTCTTCCATTTTACAGATGAGACAACAGAGGTTCTGAAATTGGAGTGGGTTTTCTCTCTATGACAAAGCTATTAAGAGCACTGAGAATCAACCTAACAATTTCTGATTCTGAGTTTCATGTTCTGACTGAGGAATTTCTCTTCAACTTTCCCTGCTGACTGGTAGAAGCGGGGATTCCCCCACTCCACTTCTCTGCTGTGGTTCCCACGGTCCAAGAAGAAATTTTCAGTGGGTTGACAAGCAGTCCAAGGGGGTGCCTGACGGGCCAGAGAGGGGCAGCTACAGGTAGGAAGTAAAATAAGACCAAGTGTTGGGGCCATACAGAGTCAAGTATTTACTAGGTGATCGCAAGGATCAGGAACTTTGCCGATGGAAATTTCAGAGCATGGGAGGAAATTCAGAGACAAAACTTTAGAGAACACGTCAATAACATATTAAGATCAGAATTTAGAGGGGAAGTGTGCAGCAAACCCTTTGAGAAAGAAATGGAAGCTGGGTTCGGTGGCTCAGCCTGTAATCCCGCCCTTTGGGAGGCTGAGGTGAGTGGATTGCCTGAGCCCGCGGGTTCGAGACCTGCCTGGGCAACTTGGCGAGACCTCATCTCTACAATAAATCAAAAAATTAGCCGGGCGTGGTAGCACGCGCCTGTAGTTCCAGCTACTTGGAAGGCTGAGGGAAGGATCGCTGGAGCCCAGCAGGTCAAGGCTGTGGTGGCCGGGAGCGGCCACTGCACTCCAGTCTGGGCGACAGAGTGAGACTCCAACTCAAAAAAAAAAAAAGAAAAGAAAGAAATGGAGAGAGGATGCAGAGCTGTCACTAAGACCTTAATGGAGGCACTGGAGAGGAAGGAAAATAACAAAGTGAGCCTGATATTTTAAAAATAAAAATGTAAGTATGGCTTAGTATCAAGAAGACTTTATGAGATGGAAGCCAAAGGAAACATCCAAGAAAAAAATTAGGGAGCAGCAATGTATGCCAAGGATGATGGGAAACCCATTCCAATACTACGATCACAAATGATCCTATGAAAGAGAAAGACTGATGTAACTAACCACACAGGAAACTCTTTGTTTGGCTCATATGTGAAACCATCATTAACAAAATATGGAAGGAAGAACATCCATCAGCATGAATCTGTATGAAAAGTGTCAGCAAGTCAGTCCAAGAAAGGACTGAGACATGCACCAAAAGCTAGAGACACCAAAAGGGACTTATAAAGACATGTGAAAAGCAGGGAGAAGAATGAATTTATTCTTACTACTAGGGACAGTTATAATATACTACTACAATATCATCAAGCTCTGTACCACAGTCAGTACAGCTACTCCAGGGAACATCATGTGTATTGCATTATTCTATGAGATGGTGCTTCTCAACTCACTGTAGCTCCTTGGCCACGCTTCCACTACCTAGCCTGGGAGGACTCCCAGGATCAATATTTCTTGCCTTGTATGCCTTAATGGATTTCGAATTTTCACTTCAATTTTAAAGTTTCCTGCCATGGATTCGTGTCCAAATCTGTATGCAACACCTCTCCCCCACCCCCAAAATAAACGTACTTCTGCTTTCTCTAACTTAGCAGATTTTGCGCATGTATGTGGAGCCAGAAAAACTCAAATTATAGTCAACAACTTTACACACCTTCCGCCAAAACTCTTAAGGTTTTATTTCATGAAAATATCATTGTCATCTGCCACCTTCTTTCTCTTCTTACCGCTAGTTCCTTGGATTAGGACTCACATTTGTAAGCACGTCAACAGGATTCTAATGACCATATCACATATGATCAACTCACGACTTTTATTTCCAGTCTACCCCTAAGTATACCTCTCAAGAATTCTCAGTTTTCATCATGCTGAGCTGATCACCATTCACCAAACATATCCTTTGTTTTTCGGTTTCTGTTTCCTAGGTTGCTCTTTCTACGTTTAGTTGCACTGTCTCTCGCCCCAATTATCAACCAACAACATTCTCCTTACACATACATTTTGTACAAGTATTTACCTTTTCATGGGAAAAAGCTACTTTGTAGAAATTATTGATCCATCCCTAGTGAGAATCTTGAATGAACTAGTTAATAGATGATTTATGAACCCTTAGAAAAGAAAGTGATGGTTAATACCACCCAACTTGCATTTGCTAGCAACAAGCAAAGTCATCACATGTTCCCCTATGCTTGAATGGTTAGACCAGGGGCTCAGAGGAATATGGCAGATTCGGTGTATCTTCACTATAGTGAAAAGACTTTCATGATCTCTCTGTTAAATGAAAGACACATGTGAGCTGAATGATAGGACACTTAGGTGCCTTTTTAGTTAATTGAGCAGCAATAACCCCAAGTTGTGAAATAATGGAGCTCGTGTAACTAGAAGGATCACTCTGGAGTCAACAGCTGAGCACTCTGTCCTCAGTACTAGTCTATTCACTAGTTTTACTAGTGGCCTGAGTGAGACCATCTTGTGCATGCTTTTTCATCTAAATGGCTCACAAATCTAGGTGTGATGGCAAATATGCCAGAATTCAAAATCAGGATTCTAACCTCTTAACACGTAAAATGATGAGCTAAAACCAACACATTAAAATTTAACAGAAATAATGTAACATCATGACCATGGCTTCCAAATTCTACACTAAGCCAAAAATAGAACTGGCTTGATTGCAGCTCTTGTGAAAAAGACCTGCCTGCCAACTCAAAAATAAAACAACATGATGGAACTGTCCCAAAGCTAAAACAACTGTGGGTTGCATCAATATTCAATTCACAACAAAGGAGGAAACGTTTTCTCTGTTCTCAGTATTGGTTAGACAGCATGTAGATTATTGTATTGAACAGGTGTTAGAAAGCTATCCAGTTCATGAGCGTTGGGAAGTGTTAACCGTGAGAGCAATAGAATGGGCCAGTGCATCAACATTGGAAACAGTTTTTTAAAATTATGATCTAAATTATCTTTAGTTCCTCTTTATTTAGAAACATGTTAATTTGGGGGTCTAGCCAGTCTTGCTATGTTCACAGGATGCCAATAGGTGTCAGTTACAAAACCTAGGCCGAAAGGATTGAGGAGGAGAAGCAGCGGGTCTAGGTGCAAAACTTCCATTG